AAAAAAAAAATTTCAGTGTGTTTTTTTGAAAAGTAATCCAGTTTCCTACTACTTTGTCTCAGACCTCATTTCAATGAGCCAGTTTTGTGCTGTGATTTATTGAATAATACCGAATGCACCATTTTGGAAAATTAGGCGAGCGTCAAAATGGCCAAATTACTGCTCAAACTTAGTTCATTGCACCTAGCGTTCAACTCTCCCCCTCCCCCAGAGCCCTAAAATTGGTCATTTTATACAAAATGTGGGTCAACTTTTGCATATGCACAGAATGGAAATCGATTTTAGTGATTTTTGCTATGAATCACTTTTCGTTCAATCCTATTGTATAAAAAATATCTATAACATGTTTTTCATGCTCAAGATCCCCGATGAAAATTGTGTGTAGATGTATCAAAATGCAGGGAAAATGTTTTCTTTGAAACCGTGGAGATTTTGGAATTAATTTTTTTGTTTGAATTTATTATAACAAGCACCAATATATATTAACATTTTCATTTACTCTTGAAGACCTATTGAATTCCCCCTAAAAGTTTCGTCCGACTTCTCTGGAAGTCAACTTATTCGAGATGTTAAATCCAACTACTCCAGGAAGTGTCATCCGACTTCTCCAGAATTTCCCAGATTTCGTCTGACTTTCTTCAAGAGTTTGTTCTAAGTACCTCCGGATTTTTTTTCTGATTTCATTTGAAAGATTTTTCAGACAACCTTTGGATTTTTTTAAAGCTTCGCCGGAAAATTCTTCCAACTTTTCCTGATAGTTTATTTTCCATATCCGCCTAAAAGAATCTTTCGGCCACTCTTGGAAATTTATTCTAATCTTCTTCTTACCTCAAATTTCTTCCATCTTTCCGCGTAAGCTTGTTCCAATTTTATTAGGATGTTTTTTACGATTTTCTCCTGACTTAAATTGGCCAATTCCAACGATTTATCTTGAATACTCCTTCCAAGTTCCCCCAGAGATCCTGCTGACTTGCCCCGGAACAGTTTGCCAGACTTCTTCTGGAAGTTTCTCTATACTTTTCTGAAAGTTTCTTCCGACTTACTCCGGAAATTTATTCCGTCTTGGATGTCGGGTGTCTGTCATCCTTCCTCTGGAAGTTTCTTCTAAATTTATCCGGAAGTTTTTTATGACTAAAGGGTGATACGGTCAAAATTTGGTCAATATCAACTTGACGTATTTCTTTCAATTTTGCATTTAGTTTAGCCAGTAGTTTCAAGCGAAACCCTAACCTCTCGCTCCGAGATGCCGCAAATAAGCTGGGTGTATCGTCTACAACCGTGCATCGAGCCAAAAAACGAGCCGGACTATCGACTTACAAGAAGGTAGTGACTCCAAATCGCGATGATAAACAAAATACGACGGCCAAAGCGCGATCCCCGAGGCTGTACACGACGATGCTGACGAAGTTTGACTGCGTGGTAATGGACGACGAAACCTACGTCAAAGCCGACTACAAGCAGCTTTCGGGACAGGAGTTTTATACGGCAAAAGGAAGGGGAAAGGTAGCAGATGTTTTCAAGCACATGAAACTGTCAAAGTTCGCAAAGAAATATCTGGTTTGGCAAGCCATCTGTACCTGTGGCTTGAAAAGCAGCATTTTCATAGCTTCCGGGACTGTCAACCAAGAAATTTACGTGAAAGAGTGTTTGAATAAACGTCTGCTGCCTTTCCTGAAGAAACACGGTTGTTCCGTACTGTTTTGGCCGGATTTGGCATCTTGCCATTACGGTAAAAAGGCCATGGAGTGGTACGCCGCCAACAACGTGCAGGTGGTTCCCAAGGACAAGAACCCTCCCAACACGCCAGAGCTCCGCCCAATTGAGAAATACTGGGCTTTTGTCAAGCGGAACCTAAAGAAGACCAAAAAAACTGCTAAGGGCGAGCAGCAGTTCAAGGCAAACTGGCTTTCTGCGGCGAAGAAGGTGGACAAGGTGGCTGTACAAAATCTGATGGCAGGGGTCAAGCGTAAGGCCCGGCAATTCGGATTTGGAAAAGCGGAAGCCTAACTGAACATTTTTCCTGAATTTTATACTAATTGAACTTGAAAAAGAAATTTAATTTGATTTTTTAAATAAACGATTTCACCGATTTACACGCGTTTTCCCTTGACCAAATTTTGACCGTATCACCCTTTACTCTGGAAGCTCTTTTCAACCTCTCCAAAAAGTGTTCATCAGCATCCATTCAAAATTTCTTTTTATTTATTGATAATTCTTCACAGAGATAATGTGAAGGAATGGGAATGTTATATTTAGATTTTTCCTGTTTCCTCTTTAAATCGAAATAGCTTCCATTGAATTTGGAGAAATTAGGGGAAATTGATTCCCAGGATGTCACTATTTTTTTTTTTATTATATCATTTTTTCATACCTGGTTGCGCCATTGGCTAGCAAACAATTATGCGAAATTTTATGGAATTTTGAGAGGCAACATTTGAAATAAGTTTATTTTCTCGCCATTTGGCGTGGATTTGATCATCACTAAGTTGCATTTCAAACTTCGTACATAAATTAGATCACCATGCCCGAGAAAATGCGAAGTGCTACCACAAATTCATTCATAAAAGATCTCCATCAATAATTTCCTTAAATCGCTATAATCATGTTTGTCGAACTTCTATGTTTGCGTTTGTGAAAATGATCTAAAGATACAACTCAATACAGCTCACAAACTCTACCTTCGTGGATGCCTGTTAAAGGCTTGTCAGCATTCGCAGTGCTGATCAAATGTTTATTTTAGCACTAGCAGTGCTGAATCTATTCCGCTCTCTACACGAGCAATGATACTCTATGCCCAAGGAAGTCGAGAATCGAACCCACCGCCACCTCTGGCTTGGTAATGCCGTGCCTTAACCGACTAGGCTGAATAAACCCAATTAAGGCTGTGTTCCATTTGGTGAATTTTCACTTGAATTTGACACTTCGAAAATAAATTATAATGTTGGAAAATCCCTCTGTTGTTGATCATCCGATTTTCGAAAAGATTTTTGTGAAAATTGATTCTTTGTCTGTCAGAAATAAGTCTGGTATAATAGCAGGTTTATTTGAAAATTTTCCATCTGTCAAATTTAAGTGAAAATTCAGCAAATGGAACACAACCTAAGGCTCTGGACTATGCTTACTATCTGGGTCTGGCAAAGACAAATCACAGTCACCTTCAGACTGCTGCGATGAAGTTCAAATTAATAAACAAAACAAATCAATGGGGAACTCTCGCGTGGCCAATGCACACTAAGAAAATTTCATAGATTGTTTTTATGTGTCCTACACATGAATTTTTGCAATGTGATCAACAAATGATATCTATGTGTCAGACACAACGTTAATATGTGTACACATAAAAGTCATATGTGACCACACATACTATTCATTTGACACATACATTTCATGTTTACTTCCGAGTGGATTCTGCTTATGTGTGGTAGCATGAAAATCATGTGGAATTTCACATGTTTTCGTCAATAAAAATGTGTAGAACTTTTTCAGTGTAACAACTACTGGAGCTTGATTTTTCGATGGTAATAGAAATTGTGAAACTACGAGAAGATTGTGTTCATGCACACACAAAGTGTACCGGTAAAACGGCACATGACCATGAAAACTATTTTGAAGTGGTTTTGTGAAAATTAACTTTTAGCGTTTCACTCAAAATTCAACACTTTTCATTTATTTCCTTCTTGCAACAGCAAGAAAACTGGTTCGAAAACCACTACGTCTTTGTCAGACCCAGGTTACTATGGTAGATAAAATGTTAATCATTCAGCTTAACCTATTAAATGCCTACTTGCAGATGCAATGAAAATTGTTAAAAATTACAGTTTACTGAGCAAAAATTGGGTCAAAAATAACAAATCTGTGATTTGATTTAAGGGAGATTAGGATTGTTGATGTTCTGTTCAGTGATGGAATTTTCTTTCCCATCAAGATAAAATAAAATCGGTTTTACGTACACTATGAAAATAGACGAAAATTCATAAACAAGTCTGAGACTGAAATAATTTTATAAGTAGTTGGTGTTCTAATACCTGAAGTACGAAATTTCAAGAATCATCAATAAAACACATACCGATACCGAACACTCAAAGCACGTCTAGATAATGTATTACATAATACACTGTGTGTCAAGTGTGTCACACGAACCCACTCGAATACATCTCATCAAATATTCATCACTTTCAGTTACAAATTTTCTATCATTCTATTGTGTCATCAAAACGCTTTCACCACCGAAATTTCATCCACCTCCTCTTTAGCACCTTCACCACGTTGGCGGCAGACGAGCGCAGAGTTCGAATCTCATTAGCACTTGCTATCAGGCCTGCCAAACACCACACAGACGGCCCTAATCTCTCAGATAGGTTTCACAATTATGATTTCATCCGTCATTAGCACCTTGTCCTGTGTCGGATTGAGCAATGCTTTCGACATTTCGACAGTCGGTCGCACACACGAAGCATAATCCCTTCGATTGTTCTCTGCCTGGCAGCACACTGAACATCATTGTTGCCGCCGCACATAAGCCATCAGTTTTGCGCACCGTGGAAGGGCTCGGAAGAATGCTGGTCCACACTCCCCAGCCAGAAGTAGTACCAATCCCACCGATCACGACTCCAACTCCCCTGCGTCCATATTTGTATAGGTTAATAGAATAAGCCAGTCGCCTCCACCGTGGCCACCCTCATCGTCGTCGCGCCTTCTTGTCCTATTCCTATTGGAGAGCATCACACCGGTTGAGCTTTCTTCCCCTCCTCGTGAGCCCACTGATCTGTGTTCCTACCTTCGCTCGATCAACCTGATCGGAACGGAGTGGCAAACAGGCGACGACGACGACGACGACGAAGACAACGACCACTGAGACGGATAGGAACAAACAAGAAACGAAGGAAACACTTCGCTCCCTCGCCAACATATCCAAAGCGGAAAACAGGTATAAGCACTACAGTATGAATCCCGCTTCGATATACTTCTTCATTCGGTTCATTTGCATCGTTTCCACTTACTTTTTGTTTTGTATGATCAATTTCACGAATATCAACGACCGCAGCGCCACACTCTTTTTCGCGTTAATCCAGTCATGAATTGCTCTTCACACCGTGTAAAATTATCGCCAGCCGTAAGGATGTCCTCCTTTCACTCGCCGTGATCGAACGAATCCACTCCGTCGGTGATCCACCAGAGATGAAAAAAAAATAACAAGTTTCTACCATCCACCGAAACCGGATTCGCGCAATTTAACACACTCCCTCTCTCCTTCTATCTCACGGTCCCGTCGGAAACGTACAAACGCAGACTACCTGTGTGAGATATACGATCTTCACTCCTCGACGGCGCTCAACTCACTGACTGCGGGTTGGTCGTGATTTTCCTTTCCACTATACGGCATTCAGCAGAACCACCTACCCGCGGTCACTCGTCACGGCACTCACCCCGCACTCACCAGAGCATAAGCGTGGAAAATTATGTTTACAACATAGCACACAGGTGTCACTCTCGCTTATATGCTGACGGACGATCGAGTTGACAACACACGCAGTTGAGAATGGAGAGAACGGAGTGAGAGGCTCTCACAGCGATCGCCACTCACGAGAGAATGCAAGCGGAGTGATCATGAATGAAAATACGTGCGAGCTTGGAGGTGGTCGTTGCATTCACGACCGGTGAAAAGACAGAGCACACCAATACCGATGTACAGTCGGATATGTTTTCACAGGTGGCTGATCGTAAGGACGGTATGCGGTTGGTAGTTACTTTGAAAATTGGTTTTTAGATATTTTCATCAGGATAATCTTTTCAATCTTTGAGGGTTCAAAAAATCGGCTGACCTTGTAACAATTTAAGATAGTCTTGACGACCATGATTTAAAGTTAAAAAATCTAAAACCACGATAAAAATTGGCATAATGCTAAACTTTATGACCAGGGTTTCGTTGCGAAATGAATTCTAATTTTTCGTCGAGTGGGTAGAAAAGAAGAAAAATTGGCTAATCGTTTCGCTTTTGGACCAAAGGCCTTTAGGCCAGTGCTGTCATGGTATATTGAGAGCATATCAAATCCTCAAGCGACTGTCATTTTAATTTGGGAATGCACACACGATTAAGTTCCCTTTAACCGATTCAATCCTACGGGGCCATATATGACCCCTACACGAAATCAGCAGTCAAAAATAATTGTTTAAAGATAATGAAAACGGAGCAACCCGGCACAACCGTTTTAAATCGCAGCAGTCTGCTAGCGGAATTCCGCAGTTCAAAGGTGGACCGGATTGCCAACACTGGAGCTTCAGGATCAAGACGCACTTGGATTCGGTCGGCGTCCTGAATAATCTGACGGAGAACGAACCAGTAGCGGCGAGGGAAAAGGTCAAGTTTCAAGAGGCAGATCGCAAGGCGAAGGCGTTGATCGTTAGTTTCCTGGCCAACGAATGTTTGGAGCTCATGTGGGAGAAGTCGACGGCCAAGGAAATGTGGGCAGCCCTCAAAGCTACATTCACAACCAAGTCTATAGAATCGCAGCATCTGATCCGGAAGCAACTCAACCGATTGAAGTTGAAGGAAGGTGATCCAATGAAGCCACATCTACTCGAGGGGGGCGACTCTATCTACGATGCAGAAAAGATTGTGTTTTACTATGGCTAGCTGCACGCACGCTGAGTAGATAGAAGGAAGATTTATGTCGATTTTGAAGATTTCCTGCAAAAAGATGAAGCACGATGCAAGTAGATGCGAGAAATGAAAGATGATTTTTCGAAGATTGATTCGCTAGTGTGAGATTTTTTGAGCATCTAGAATTGAGATTTAGATGTGTCGCCCCTCTCGCATCTACTGGCGTTTGACGATTTTGTCCGACAGATGAAGACGAAGATAGAGGAAACTGACCTGCTGGTGCTGCTGTTCCAGACTCCTACGACCCACTGGTTGCCGCTCTGGAAAACATTCCGGAGCAAGATATGAAAATCGAAGTCGTTAAGCAGCGGTTGTTGGCTCAAGGCATGAAGCGTCAAGAGTTAAATGGAGAAGTTGGCGAGGTCGAAGGGGTCGCTTTTTCCGGTGACAAAACGAAGAAACCCTTCAAGTTTCCGGGTAAGCGTGGTCACCTCAAGAAGGACAATCGACCGAAGGTCGGTGGTGAAGCTAACTCGTCGGCCAACGAGGTGGACAGTCAGCAGAAAGTGGTAAGTTTTGTGGTGAGCCGGGGCAACGCCAAGAAGAAGAGTGACAAGCTCGTGTTCAAGCTCGACTCGGGATCCAGTAAGCACCTTATCAATGATAGCGAAGCGTTTTTCGAAAGTCCGAAAACTGAAGCAGCCCATCGTGATCAACGTGGCAAAGGAAGGTCAATCCATTCTTGCGAAGACGGTCGGTGAAATCCAAGGCAACAGCAAAAAACAAGTTCCCATTGCACATGAAAGAAGTGCTGTTCATCCCAGAGTTGCGCGACAATTTGATTTCCGCGAAGAAGCTCGTCACGGCCGACGTGCAGGTGAGCTTCGTCGGTAAGATCGCAAGATCGGGGAAATGCCACCGCATAGCTGAGATGTGGCCTCTATGAGCTGGAGATTAACCTAAAAGGTCTAACCGCAAACTTGTGCAAGTCAGAGACAGATGAGCTCTGGCACCGGTGGCTCGGACACTTGAGCGAGCAAGGAATGAAGGCCATGGCATGGGAAGCAATGCCGCGACCCTTTTAGCAGAACTCGTGATCGAGCGACCAGGCTTTTGGAAAGGATCCACTCGGACATGTGTGGTCCTATCGACCCCGCTGCTTGGGACGGATCCCGATACTTCACGAGCTCCATAGATGACCATACCTACTTTTCGGTTCTGTACATGATGCGGACGAAGTCCGAGGTCTTCAGCATGTTCCTGGAATATGAGGCCATGGCGACGGTGAAGTTCGGCTTGAAGAAACTCCACCTACGCTCGGATACCCGATCAGCAGCGCAAAAAGCTTGACGCGAGAAGCCGGGAGACTGTGATGGTTGGCTTTGCTCCAAATGGCTACCGACTGTGGGACCGGCACGGCAGGAAAATTATTATTGCTCGTGACGTGAAGTGCGACGAATCCTGCTGAAGTGTCCCGAGAAGAAGGATTCCTCACTGGTCGTGTATTTCCCTCCCAAGGTGATCACGGCACTGAGGATGGAACACCCAACCACACCGAGGAAATCGAACCGGATGCTGATCACGATCACGACGCGACTGACGAGACTGTAGACACCACCAAAACCGGGGTGCTCCTTTCACAACCATAACAGCACGATTTCAAGGATGAGGGTCAACCGTTGCTGAGGCACAGTTTGTCAATTTCTTTACTGGTTACGGAGCTGCCGGTCCATGCATTACAGATGTTTCAAACTGCCACAACGATATCGAGGACCGAGACGACCGTACCCATTGGCCATTCGAGAGGAACTGGATTCGATGGAGACGAACCGAGTATGGAAGCTATAACGTTGTCCCCAGGGTGTCAAACCTTCTTCTTCTTCTTCTTCGCATTTCAAGCTTATTGCATATCGCATATTAGCATATTGCGTGCTCTCAACTTAGTGTTCTAGATGCACTTACACAGTTATTAATTGAGAGCTTTCGATGCCTGTACCATTTTTGCATTGGTATAATTGGGTGGCAAGTCCAATCATACTTCTATGCCCAGGGAAGTCGAGAAATTTTCCAACCCGAAAAATTCCTAGACCGGACCGGGAATCGAACTCAGCCACCTCCAGCATGGTTTTGCTTTGTAATGGGTGTTTCGTGTGAAGCAGAACGGAAACGGCAAGGAAGTTCGCTACAAGGCTCGTTTGGTGGTGAAAGGGTACCTGCAGCGTCAGGGCATCTATTATGAAGAAACCTACGCTCCCGTCGCGAAATTGACCACCATCCGTACTGTTCTAGTTGTCGGCGTCGATTCCTGTTCCACCAGATGGACGTCAAGACGGCGTTCTTTTATGGTGACCTGAAGCAAGACATCTATGTGGTGGTATCGGACCGAGTAGAAGCTGATCGAGGCATAGTGTGCAAGCTACAGAAGTCCCTGTACGGATTAAAGCAGTCTCCCCCGCTGCTGGAATAAGCGGCTGAATGGACAGTTGCTCAAGATGGGATTCACCAGGTCATGCCACGACTACTGCTTGTATACGAGATGCACACCAGGGGATGAGCTGATCATCATCATTTAAGTCGACGACCTATTTATCGCTGGAAGGAAGAAGTAACTCTCTGTCGTATTCAAGATGACTGACTGCGGCGAGGTGAACTACTTCTTGGGCATGAAGCTGATGTACAACCGAGAGGAAGAAACGCTTCAGCAATGAGGATCCTGCAGCGATTCGGAATGGTCATCTGAAACCCGTGTAAATCTCCGATGGAAAAAGGGCTCCAACTGAAGCGGGACGGACCAGCGACGAACGAACCGTAAATAGAGCTGTTGGAAAGCATGATGTACACCATGTTGTGTGTGCGCCCGGACATTTGCTAACCGGTAAGCTACATGGGACGTTTTCAGCAGAATCCAGCCGATCAGCACTGGCAGGCGTTGAAGCGGATCTAACGCTACCTGCAAGGGACGCAGGACCAAAAATTCATTAGCTGCTTCTTGTTCAAGGTCTTCGGAGCAACCGTGTCATGGTCGAGCAAGAAGCAAACGACGGTGGCAAAAGCTTCAAAAAAATCATGAGGGACGATATCGAAACCATTACAAATTTCTGTTCAAAAATCGTTTGATTGTCACTATGAAGCTGAACTACCACCGACGAACCTACAAGATGCAGGAGAACAGGCTGAACTTAAGCAAAGTTCTGCATACTTTAGGGGCGTTATGTGAACTACAGAATATGTTTGCAAACTTCACGGAAATTCTGCGCACTTGAGAAAACTTCTGCAAACACATGGAAGTTAAACGAACTCCAGGAAAGGTCTACGAACTTCAATTAAATTCTTCGAAGTTAAGGAACATGTTGTGAACTTCAATAAAGTTCTGCGAACACCAGGAAATTCTTGCAAATTCTAGCGAAACAAAGAATTTCAACCTGCAGAGAAGTTCATTGAACTTCAGGGAAGCTCTGTGAAATTCAGGAAAATTCTGCTTACTTTCAAGACACGCTTCGAACTCCAGAGAAGTTCTTCAAACTTTAGGAAAAGTACTGCAAACTTCAGGAAAATACTTCGAAATTTATGCGACTTTTTGCGAGTTTAAATGTCATCCTAGTAAGTTCCACGTACTTGAAGAGAGTTTTTTTTTATAATGCTCCAGGCTCATTTGCCGTAGCTTTGCGGAGCCGATATTCTTTGTTTGGATTACAAGATTTCTTAAAACTAACGTAAGTAAAGCGGGGGC